AACCGTGCCGACAACAAGCATGCCGCCTGAACGCAATGTGACGCAAATGTACAATGTATCCTGCCCTCTCCCATTCTTCATCCAAGTGCCACTTCCTTTGCCAAACGCGACGGCAACAACAGCAACAGCAACCCAGACTGCGCAAACAACACCAGCAGCCGCAAACATGTCGTCCACGTTCTCCACCACGGCCTCGGACCCTGGCACGATGCAGCGCTTTCAGGTGTTGGCGATAGCAAACTACACACGCTGTGCCGCGACGGTGATGTCGGTCACCACATTGCCGCCATCCTCGCCGCCACCATCAGCAGCCTCCTCCACCACCACCACCACCACGACGGCTGCGCATGGCACATCGTCGGTACCATCGTCACGTGTGCCCGCGGGAACGAGCGGTAATGATACATCGCATGCGTCGTCGACCACCGCCAACCCGTGGACCGGAGACAGCACAGGCGGCACCGGTAGCGGCTGGGATCACCTCACGAACACAAACGTCGTTTCTGTTGTGTGCGACGGATACGGGGATCTGCTGCGTAGCACGCCGGGCCTGGAGTGCAGCGTCAACACCACGTCCCTCCTCCTCACCTGCACTCTGGATGATGGCTCTGGTCCCGCCCAGACAAGGAACGCGACCGCCACCACTGCCACACCGGCGTTGCACACAGCAGCGGCGCCAACAACAGCTCCCACCGCCACGGGCAGCTACAGCAATAGTAGCAGTACAGCGGCGCCCCCTGATGCGCAGGATGGAAGGGCGATTGTGTTTGAGCACCGCTTGAATGTGACGACACAGGTGGAAGGAGACCTAGTCTGTGTTCCTGGTGATGATGGCGTGGGCCCCTCCACCGTGATGCCGCCGACAACCAGCGCACCCGCTGTGACGCGCAACGTGCTGATTGTCGTGCCAGCGCCACCAACACCAGCAGAACAGTACGTGTCACAAAACACGCAGGAAGCAACCGGGTCTCGCCATGGGGATTCGGCGCAATCACAAGAGGCGACAGACCAGCAACAAGAGGCGGAACAGGGGCCTGATGACGATGATGACGATGATAATGAGGAGGAGGACGATGAGAATGATGACGAGGAAGAAGAGGAGGAGGAGAATGGCATTGGCAGTGGACTTGGCCCCCAGCTGGAGCAAGCCGAATTGATGCTTGAGCTGACAGCCATGTTGCCGGAGAGGGCGCCGCGCCCTTGCTCCCTCGTCCCGTTCATTGACACGCGCGTGCGCGCTGGCGTGCCGACAGCCGAGGATGTGGAGTGGGCAGACGACGTGGTTGTGTTCGCATCATCATCGCCATCGCGCATGCCGGAGTCATACCCGCTGCTGGATGCCATTGACCGCTACAACGTGTCATCGCCCTCGTCGCTGTATGTTGTGGACGACAACGTGTGGAGTCTGGGCCCGCGCTTCCACTCGCAGGCGCATTTTGTCCTGCCGACGCTGCCCCAATCCGCCTCGCTCCTGTCCTCCGTAATGGGGCACTTTGAGTTTACGCGCATTGTGCTGGTCACGGAGACAGACCTCATGTTTCTGAGGGAGGAGCTGCTGCGAGTCGTTGCCGCCGAGCGCGCGTTTAACATCACGCACACGGTGACGGCCGACGTCTCCGATGCCCAAATCCGCAACACCCTTCGCGAGTGAGTCTTGTTCCGTGTACACGTACGTGTGCCCGCGTTTCTTTGTGGTGTGGTGTGGTGTGGTGTGTGTGTGTGTGTGTTGAAAAGTTCGTCGACTTGCCCGCTTTGTTTTGTGTCATCCCATGTGTTGCCATACACGACCAAGGTGATCAGCTTACACCATCGCATTCTCCTCCTCTTTCTGCTTCTCCTCGTTAGCTACGCTCGCGACGCAGAAGGAAGCGTGTTTGTCTTTCTGCTCTCTGCACCGCAAGCCACTAGAGGTGTGTGCACGTGTATGTATACGTGTGCGTGCATGTGTGTGATGCGATGCTGACAACCTCCACCTCACATCATCACTCTCATGCATCATCACCATTGCACACACACACACACACACACACACACACACACACACACACACACACACACACACACACACACACACACACACACGCACGCACACACGCACACACGCACACACGCACAAAACACACACACACACACACACACACGCACAGCGCTGCGCATTGCTGCGTCCATCGACTTTGGGCGTGCGCGCATCTTCTGGATTGGCGATGCTGCTGCGTACATGGCCAATCTCAAGCTCACTGACGACTTCCTCCCAGACCTCTTTACAGTACGACACTGACTCGGTGTTCGGCGTTCCGTGTTCGGTGCTCGGTGCTCGGCGTGCGTGCGTGTGTGTGCGTGTGCGTGTGCGTACGTGCGTGCATGCGCGTGCGTGTGTGTGTGCGTGTGTGTGCGTGTGTGTGTGTAGTGTGTGTTTTGTGTCTTGTGTGTGAATTTCTCACTGCCGTCCCCACCACGTTGCCACTGCCGCACATCTGCAGGTGTTTCCGTCGGTGTCTTATCCTGTTCCATCGCCCTCGCTCAGTGCCATTGGCGATTTGTTTTATCTCTGGCACAACATCACATTCCCGCAGCCGCCCGCCACTCGCTCGCGTACGCACATGTTATCGCAGTGGCCGTGTGTGCGTGTGTTTGTGATTGTTGCAGTGATGGTGGTTGTGTATGTGTGTGTGTGTGTGTGTTTGGTTGTTCTCAATCGTCTGCCTCACCCCGCTCCCCAAACCACCATACATACACACGACTGACCATGTAGAGCGTGCATATCCCTTCCCTGGTGCGCGTGAGGAGGAGCTGTTATTGGAGCAGATGGACGGCATCCCGGTCCGGTTGGCCGAAACGGGCACATTTTACGCCGTGCCCCTCAATCCTCCAAGTCTGGAGAGTGTGCGCCAATCGGTCTCTCCAAAGCTTCAAACACGCATCCAACGCACGTCCAAGGTACCGCGCGCGTGCCCGTGCGTGCGTGTGTGCGTGCGTGAGTGCATGTCAGCGTGCGTGTCTTCCATAGTCTGTCGTAGGTTTGCTGTAAACACATACACACATACACACATACACACACACACACACACACACGCACACACACACACACACACACACACACACACACACACACACACACACACACACACACACACACACACACACACACACACACACACACACACACACACACGCACGCGGCAGCGCCTGCGGGAGCTGTCTGGTCGGGACGGGTTCATATCGCCACTCGCGCTCTTCACCGTTGATCTCATGCATCTGATCATCCACAACGCCGTCGTGGTGCGCTACTTGTACCCGGGGTGTGCATGCACAAGTGTGGAACGTGTGTACATGCGTGTGTGTGTGTGTGTGCGTGTGTACATGCGTGTGTGTGCAAGAGTGAGTGAGTGAGCGAGTGCGTGAGTGGTGTAACGTGCACAAAGTCGTTTGCGCTCACACGAAGACGCGTACGTACAAACACACACAAACAAACACGCGCACGCACACGTGAAGGATGAGTGCTTTGCACCGACGTCAACATATGTTGGCAGCAGCAGCAGCAGCAGTTCAACCACATTCACAATGCCAACAACAACGGATGCCACATCCACAACATCATCCTCGTCAACGCTCGCAACAACGACGATGGCGACAATTGAGGAGACACGTCACATGTCATCGTCTGCCACCACCACCACAACAACAACAACAACAACAACAACAACAACAACAACAACAACAACAACAACAACAACAACAACAACAACAACAACAACAACAACAGTGGCACGACGTCGTCGTGAGGATGGCGGTGCGTATCATCATCTTCGTTCCTGGTGTCTTTTTGTGGGACACACACACACATGTCCACACATACACACATGCACACGCACACCATACAACTCACCCAACAAGATCCACCCCCTCCCACTCCACAGCGGACTACGTTGGCGCGACGGGTCTGATGTCGTTCAGTGCCGACAGCGGGGAGCGGTCGCTGGTGTGGTATTCCGGCGCCCTTTTCCTCGACTCGGGTGGTGTTGAGCTCGTTCTCAAGTTCTCGACGGGTGGACAGTCCATCACCGTCACCGACACGCTTGACGAGCTGCCAACACCGGACCAGAACAACGGTACCGTGTGCACTCAGGTGCGCAGCGTCTGTCCCGCATGCAATCGATCCGTCATCATCCCCGTCGTCGGTGAGTCCAACGAGGGGCAGGGTCGCTGTTCGGTGTGTGTGTGTGTGTGTGTGTGTGTGTGTGTGTGTGTGTGTGTGTGTGTGTGTGTGTGTGTGTGTGTGTGTGTGTGTGTGTGTGTGTGTGTGTGTGCGTGTATTTGTCTACAGGTGTTTGTGTGTGCGTTCTATCTTGGTTGCGCAGCACTACACATCGCCACCACCACCTCACCTCACCTCACATCACCCTCACATCATCACGTCAGCGGGCGTGCTGTCGTTCCTGGCGATTGTTGCCGTCATTCTCTACTGCGGTCGGCAGCGCGTCGGCCTCTCGCTGCTCGAGAAGACGCGCAGAGCCGAGCACTTTGCTCAGGTCAGACCCGGAGTTGGGGAAGGGGGTTGGGATTACACCTGCAATGTGTGTATGTGTATGTGTGCGTGTGAGTGAGGGAGTGAGTGCATTCTTTGTGACTTGTTTCGACTGAACTTCTGTGGGCTGTTCTCACTCAACATATGTCGCCCACAAACACCACCAACAACACCACCAACAACACCAACACCACCACCAACACCACCAACAACGACAACAAATTTGCAGCTGGCGCGACACGATGCGGAGGTGAAGGCCAACTTCCTGGCCAACATGAGCCACGAAATCAGAACGCCCCTCCACGCTATCCTCTCCATGGGAAGACTTCTCCTTGAAAACAGGTGCGGTCCTTGTTTTCGTTTCAGTCTGCTGTCGTCCGGCGCGTCGCGCGCTTCGTGTGCTTCATACCCCCAACCACACACACACACTCACGCACGCACACACACACACACACACACACGCAAGCTCACGCACTCCGTCTCAATCCTCCCATGGCTTTACCTCTCTTGTTCAACACCCTACCCCCCCCCCCCACATTGGCAGGCAAAGCGACAAACACGTGGATCCGCAGGACTTGGAGGACTTGAATCAGCTTATCAAGAGTTCGGAAACATTGCAGGCGCTCGTAAACGACGTCTTGTTCATTTCGAAGATGCAGACGTCCTCGTTCTCCCTGCAGAACAAAACGTTTGACGTGTGCGCCTTGGTGGAGGACATTACGCAACTTCTTGCCCTTCGCTGGGATCCGCAAAACGTCGAATGCGTGAGCAAACTGCATCTGCCCGAGTTTAACTACACCATCGAGGCAGACCCACTACGCTTGCGTCAGGTCCTAACGAATCTAAGTACGAACGCAATGAAGTTTACGGAGGAGGGGCACGTGGTCCTCTCATGCTCTCTCATCGAACTTCATCCAAACGACGACTACGCTTCCCCAGAAGGTGTGTGCGATGTGTGTGTGCGATGTGCAGAGAGTGTACAATGTGCAGAGCGTGTACAATGTGCGGAGAGTGCGCATGCGATGTATGTATGTGTGTGTGAGTCATGTGCAGCGCGTGTAAGATATGTGCAGTGTGTGTGTGTGTGTGTGTGTGTGTGTGTGTGTGTGTGTGTGTGTGTGCTCGTCGCTGCTCACGAGCTGTGCTTCATGACTACTCCACTCACCCATCAACTACCGCCGCCACCGCGACCTTGATCGCAGGCAAACGCATCCCGCATCTGCTGTTTGAGGTGTCGGATACGGGCGAAGGCATGACGGATGCCACCATGTACAATCTCTTTGAACGCTTCTTCCAGGGGCACATGTCCATCTCAAAGGCCGTGAGTGAACCTGCAGCGCACATGCTTGTGCTTGTGCTTGTGTTTGTGTTAGTGCTTGTGCTTGTGTTTATGTTTGTGTGCGTGCGTGTGCTTGTGTTTATGTTTGTGTGCGTGCGTGTGTATTGAGTGTGTGTGTGTGAGTGTGTGTGTGTGCGAGTGTGTGTGAGTGTGTGTGTGTGAAGATGCGAGGAACAATGGTGTGAAGACGGAGCGAATCACCTCACTCACACACCCCTGGCCCACACACATTCAACACCACCACCGCCACGATTAGACGGGCGGTGCTGGGCTTGGACTGGCAATTGCTGCGGAGCTCGTGTCGATCATGGGCGGGACAATTGGCGTGTGGTCGGACGGCGAGGGATTCGGATCCACATTCTGGTTCACCCTCCCAATCAGTGCGTTGAAAGCAAACGATGCTGTTGCTGTTGTTGTTGTTGTTGTTGTTGTTGTTGTGTTGTTGTTGTTGTGTTGTTGTTGTTGTTGTTGTTGTTGTTGTTGTTGTTGTTGTTGTTGTTGTTGTTGTTGTTGTTGTTGTTGTTGTTGTTGTTGTTGTTGTTGTTGTTGTTGTTGTTGTTGTTGTTGATGATGATGATGATGATGATGATGATGATGATGATGATGATGATGATGATGATGATGATGATGATGATGAGGAAGGAGTGGTAATGATGATTGAGGGTTTGTGAGAACAGTTCGATGGCCGCAGGGTTTCATGTGTGCGCAAGCATGGACATGTGTTGCGCTGTGTTGTGCATCCACACACAATTGATGTCCTTCCACTCAAACACAACATGCACGCAACCTCCATAACACATCGCGTAACATACGTGCGCACTCCACCCGCCTTTCAGGCTACCAGCGTCCACAACTTGCCAGCAGAAAGGTGGCTGTCGACGATGGCTTTGGCGAGGTGAGATGGCTCGTGATGGTTCGTTGATGATTCGTGATCACCAACACCACCGTCACCATCCTCAACACGAGCACCAACACCACCGTCACCATCTCAACACGATCACCAACACCACCGTCACCATCTCAACACGATCACCAACACCACCGTCACCATCTCAACACGATCACCAACACCACCATCACCATCCTCAACACGATCACCAACACCACCATCACCATCGCTGCACACAGGACATGTCGGCGCCAGTTGCGCGTGTGGCGTACGAAGACAGCCGCTCATTCATCCAGGACATTGCACACGTACCGCTGCCAAGCATCATCGTGCAGGTGTGTGTGTGTGTGTGTTTGCGTTTCAAGGGTTGAATCATCAAGTCGCCCCCCCCCTCCAACTCATCGCATCAGCTGTTTGGGCTGAGCTCCGTATTAATGTGACAACATACGGCACTCACATCACACCCATTGTACGCCACACCTGCTGACACGTCCCACACCCCATTGCACCACGTGCCTGATCCAAACAGACGGTGCAGTCGCAGCTGTCAAACCAGCTTGTGCTCATGTGCTCGCCAAATCGCGGCGTTGCTCAGGTACGCTGGCTTGCACGCGTGGCCACAGCCATGTATGTGCACGCACGCACACATGACACAACACACACACACACATACACACGCACACACATACACACGCACGCACACGCACACACACACGCACACGTACACTCACACACACACACACACACAAGTACCCCGCGCACACACGTACACACACGCACAAGCTGCCCCCTCGGGTGCACATCACCTCACCATTTGCATCATGTTGTGACAGCAACAGGGCCTGTCGTTCTATCTCCGTCGATGGGACAATTCCCTTCTGCTTTGGGCGCTCGTTCAGAGAGCGCTTGCAGGCGCACACGCGTACAAACCTCGCAAGACAGTCACGCAATCGCGGCTCCATCCCGCCCGTCAATGGCATCTGCATATTGATCACGGCTAGCGTTGATCGATGCTGTGGGTCTTCCCAGGACTAACAGT